CCACCTCAAAAAAATTTTTAAGACAAATGTGAGCATGCTTTCTTAAGGAAAAAAAAAAAAAAGGACAGAAAAAAAGAATTAGGCCAATATAAAAAGCAAACATTGAAAATAGTATTGTGTTTATTTGGCAGACATAGCAAAGATTTAGCTGTTATTATTTGCATTTCGTTTGTACATTTAATTCCTATTTCACTTATATATTTATTTCACATGTAATTTAATCACATATAAATATATTTCTATGTTAAGACTATGATAAATCATTTTGAGGTATGGTTGTCTTTGAGCTTCAGAAAGAGCAAGGGAGTATAAATTTTGGGAGTATTGATAAAGTTTATAAACTATTCTTTTTAATTCTTTTATTTCTTGAGTTATTTTTTTATTAGTGTATTAATAGAATGATCTAAAGTGTTTTATTGTTAGCTTCTCTTCCTTTAATGTATGGGGTTTATCATATAGAGTTGTATTATAAGAAATTAATGTTTGAACGTTTGGTGATTATAAAAAAAAATTTTAATTTCATTTAACATCTGTACCAGATATGATATATTTAATTATTTTTATTTAAAAGAATCTTTGTAACTTTTATGATTCTTCTGTGGTGTCTCTTTTATTGGGCATTTTAGACAATTGATAAGCATTATTCAGTGGCATATGGTCTGAGTCTGACATGCTTTGAAAAGAGTACAGAGTTCTGATAATGAGGATTCTGTGAAAATGAGAAAACCAGCACAACAGATATGCTTTGAGAAAGTATGGGTTTTTAGCATCTTGAAACAATATATCACACTCAAAAGGACAGAATTGGGCTGCACAATCTGTTAGCTCATTCTTGTCCAATCTGGTCTCCTCCTTTCTTTTGGAGCCAATGTTGTCATCAGCTCACTGAATTATATTCTGACTGGAATGCATTTCAGGCACAGAGTAATGTATCTACTTAAATGGAATCTATCTTTCTACAAAAGCTTTTTGAGTATAATAAATATAAAATGGAAAAAAAAATCTATTAAGTTAAAGTAAATGGTTCAACAGTTTACATATGTGCCTCCTCCCCCCAACCTTAAAAAAAGATCACTACCTAGAAGAACATAGCTCTGTTTTTCTTTTATGTATAATATTGAATAATTTTTTTTAACAATCAGGTAGTCAGACATATTTCAAAGGCTGTTTATTGGAAAGATACCTATACATTACAACAAATATTTGTTGAACAAAAATGAGCTATGGTAGTAAAACTTCCTCTATTAGTGTTTAAATTATCATGGTTTTTAAAAATTCTATAGCAGCCCTTCTTAACAAGAATTAAGCCTTAATGTACTAAGGCATCTATTTTATGTATAAAATAAACCTGTCTCCTCTCCATCTAGAATAGTACTAGCTATCATTGGGAAAATTGAGAAGATGGTAACCCAAGTATTTTTTATAGGGCTTAATTCTCTCGTGGATCCAGGGCTAAGAAAATACACTCTTTAGTATTCAAAATCTCTGGGTCTTTCAATTTGAAATATACTGGATTGTTTAAATGAATTGAGTGTTATATTAGGACTATATTACTTTATATAAAGGATTAAATGTGAAAATCTTTGTAAAGTGATAAACACAGTGCCTGACATATTTTAAGTGCTCAACAGATTATATCTACTATCATGTTTTAAACTTTCATTGTCCTAAGTTCCTGAAAACTTTTGCTTATCTTATGATGTTTTGATCAAGATGAAACTTATTTTTAAGTACAGTAACAAAGATGTATTTAATCCAAAAAAATTACATTTTCAAATTTGTACAGGCTACCCTAGTAGTATTTTGTACTTAATGATCAACAGCTATAAATTTTGCTTTTTTATGATGTTCAAATAATTTGGAATTCAGCCAGAGAAACCACGTAATAAATGAAGTTTTTTTGTGTATGTAATTGTCTTCATGAGGATTTTAAGTCTTTGCCAGTTCAGATAAAGCAAACAGTGTTCTTTACTGCATTGATTTAAGTGAATGTGGGGGCTAGGAGATTGAGAAAGAGTTAGCCTTCCCTGATGCAAAAGGAAGGATATTAATGCCTCACCAGACTTTTCACCAGAGGAATCTTTAGCCTTCCTGTGGCAAATGGTACATTACAGTTTGGGTATGATTGGCATTGCCATGGGACACCAGAAATTACACAAGTTATATATATTTATATGAGTTATAAAACTGAAAAAAATCTCTCAAACTAATTATAGAAGCAAGGACATAAGTGAATTCGTTCCTTTTAGTGTAAATTGAAGATATTTTTTAGTGTGAACTATTGAACAAAAAATGGGTAATAAGTTGTCACTTGAGAATAACTAACATGTAGTTTATGAGACAAGACAAGCACCTTTCTTTATAACATACAATTGTAACCAGCTTACATATCCTGTGCTAATTTTAAGGTAAAGTGGATTCTTATTAATATATTTCCATATTCCTGCTTAACAGTTCATAAAGTAAATAATACAAGAATATTAGGTGGCCAAACAGAATGAACTATTTATACATTGCATTCAGTTCAGTGAAAGTTGAAAAATAATATTTCTTATGTGTATGTCATTAAATATCACCTAGTTTATGCAGTGCTTTTTTGATACATTAGTAATTATTATAAAGCTAAAGTTTATTGTCCTATTTTATGGATTATTGTAAGTGTAAAATAGCTTGCTTCCACATTTAAAAAACTTAGAAAATTTTTCTGACTAATGAAAATAAAATGAACAAGAATGAAAGCAGTTGGAATGTTTCATTATATGGATATTTTGGTTATACATTTTTACTAAACTACAGCAGTAGCAACAGTTTTTCAAGCTGGGGATTTTGTGATATATTTATTGACTTATGCATAGACAAGATATTTACTGTATTGCAGGCATACTTATATACATTAGAGGTTGTTAATAGAAGAAAAAAGGAAGTAAGAGCTGAAGAAAATGTCACTTTTTCATACTTCTATCTCAGGCATATAAAAATTATACATTTACTATTTTCAAGTAACTTCACTGTTGCTTACTGCTGGAATGTGGTAGTGAAGCTTTAGAGATGTATCCTTCTTTTCAGTGCTCATGTCTTCTCAAATCACTTGGCCTTTACATTATTCTCCTCATGTAGTTTCCCATAAAGAACTTCCTTATGCTGCATCTTATGTTATCCTCTGCTTCAAGCATAGAGAACTATCTGAGACAAGGAAACTGGGCTTTCTTTTTTGTCTTCATCTGTTTTGTGTGTGTGTGTGAGACAGAATCTAGCTCTGCTGCCCAAGCTGGAATGCACTGGCATGATCTAAGTTCACTGTAACCTCTACATTCCGGGTTCAAGTGATTCTCCTGTCTCAGCCTCCTGAGTAGCTGGGGTTATAGGCATGCACCACCATGTCCAGCTAATTTTTGTATTTTTAGTAGAGATGAGGTTTCTCCATGTTGGCCAGGCTGGTCTCAATCTCCTGACCTCAGACCTCAAGTGATCCACCTGCCTTGGCCTCCAAAAGTGCTGGGATTTGAGCCACCACACCCAACCAGAACTGGGCTTTCTATTTAGTTCTTTACAAGAAATTTTGTAAGAAAATAAGATTTGCTCTTTCTTCCCGTAAAATTTACGTTACTTTAAGTATTTTCCATGTAGAATACAAAGTGCTAGAATATTCAGAGAGCATTTATAAAATATGAATTTCAAAAACCATTCAGACATATGACAATTTAGTGAGCTAAACTGAAGCTGGAAATGTTTAAAAATGTAAAAATTATGAATATAATAAATGTAGCATTTAAAATAAGTGAGATAAGGAATTACTTAACCTATATTGCTAGAACAATTGGTTATTTAGGAAAAAAAACTTAGATTTCTACTGTATTTTCTATATGAAAATAAATTACAAGATAGTTATTTAAATTTTAAAAAACTGTAACAGAAGTTGAAGAAATAGGGAAATCTATATTATATGTATATATTTTAGGAAAAGTTTTCTAAGCAACAAAACATAAGGTACCAATTTATAAATTTAAGTCTATAAAGTTAAAGCACAAATAAAATGAAATGCAAATAAAAAATATTTATAGCACATTATGGACAATGGATTAGTACCTTTAATATATATTTTTTAAATAAGCCAATAAGAAAAAAAAAGACTATTATATCCACTTAAAAAATGAAAAGACAAACTAGAAAACAGCCAGTAAATATAAAAAAGTGTCTATCTGTACTATTGATCAAAGATAAGAAGTAAACAAAAATATGCCAGTTTAATTTTTTAAATAGTGTTCAGAGTGTTGAGAACATAGTAACATTGACACTCTAATATATTTATAGTTGTGTGCCTCTCTGAAAAACAATTTTTGAATAGTTGTTTACTTAAAATATTTTGAATAGTTGATTACTTAAAACATTCATATCCTTTTATTATTACTAAATTTACATAGGAGAATAATAGTATTTTCTATTATAGAGTTTTAGGGAAGATTAAGTGCACATGTAAGATTACTGTTATTATTTCAAATTTACAGTTATAGAAATGGGCTTGGAGAGGTTATGTGACTTTTTCAGGGTCACTAAGTTCTGTAAGAAAGCATAAATTGAAACAATTTCTATCTAAAAGGCTTATGGCTGACTTTTTTTTCACTATTTTTTGGTCGTATTTTCAAAATTTTTGTCGCTGAACTTCAAAAACAGTATTTTTTATAACAAGAGATGAACAAAGGCACTGAAATATTACATCCTTTTTAATGGTTGTACTCATGAAAGGATATATGGTTTATGTACAGATTTTTTCTCTTGATTCATAAAAATAAGACTGATAATATTTAAACTTTAGTGTGTTTGGAGTACATATTCTCACCAAGTAGATATTCTTTTTAGTTAATTAAACTTTAATCATAACAGTAGATGGGACATATATTTTTATGTCCATATAGTAACATAAAAAACAAAATAATATAGCCTTAATATGAAATTTTTAACGTTAATACATCTACATATTGTAATTGTATTTTTATTTGCAGATGGAGAACATCATTGCAACAGTAAGAGATTCCAACCTCAAGTTGACACTTGCTTTTGGAATAGGAATGCATCATGCTGGACTACATGAGAGGGACCGAAAAACAGTAGAGGAACTATTTGTAAACTGCAAAGTTCAGGTACTTTTCTTTCTCCAGTGAACACATATTTAAATGTAAGTTAAAAGTTTTATTTTCCTTAGATGTAAGATATTTTATTTTGCTTTTTAGGTTCTTATTGCTACAAGCACATTAGCCTGGGGTGTAAACTTTCCAGCTCATTTAGTAATTATTAAGGGAACAGAATACTATGACGGAAAAACAAGACGTTACGTGGATTTTCCCATTACAGGTAATTTTCTTAAATTCACAGAAACACATGAAACTCTATTTCAGCCTTAGTAAATTTGAATTTGAATAATTAAAAATTAGAATTTCTACAAATTAAACTTTTAAAAATTGGTCACCTTTAAACAGATGATAAGTAATTATAGACTTTTTGTTTCCAGTTAAAATATTATACAAAATATTGCTGCGTTATTTACTTTTACTTACACAAAAGTAAGTAAATAATAAGTAACTTAAAGTACTTGTTATTAAACCAACCAAAGTTGGTTTTATAAACAGGTAAAAGTACTTCTCAGTGGCTATTAGTGAAATTCCTTAGTAAGTTATGACTAAGTATTACTTTGCTTAATTTTAAATGTATTTTACTAGAAATGATACCTCATGGGATTTCTAGAACCAAAGTATTTGTTGCTACAACTTATGCATGAAGAGTCTATTACGATATTTTAAAACATACTGAAAGCATTTTCAGTGGGTTCGAAAAGGGAAATACACTCAATGTATATTTTCACTAAATGAATACATGTAAAAGCTATATTATTTATAAATCATTGGTTATATCAGCGATTTATGTAGGCTAAAAGAAGGAAATCTTATATAGGGGAGTAGGGAAGACAAGGTCTAAATTGGTTCATTATTCATGGGGAAAATAATCAAATGACTCTGCTGAAAAGACTTTTCTTTGTATGTTTTATTTTTTACTTTTTCTAATTTAATTAAAATAGTAATATCTATTAAACAACATTTTAAAGCATTCTGCTAAAGGGAATTTTGATCTTTCTTACATTTATAAATGTTAAGAGAGACCCTTTGGGGACTCAGTTTTCCATCATAGTTACTTGCTTATTTAATTATCAATTTTCTGAGTGAATTATACTAATTTAGGGAACTCACTATAGTAGTAGCCATCAAGATAGCAAACATATTATTAAAATATTCTGTTTCTTTTGTTATTTGGTTGATTATAGAAGCATGCCATAATTAGTAAATATACCTTGTGCTATATGCTACATTTATCTCTTTGTTCTCTCTTTTAAAGATGTCCTCCAGATGATGGGCCGTGCTGGGAGGCCACAGTTTGATGACCAAGGCAAAGCTGTAATTCTGGTTCATGACATAAAGAAAGACTTTTATAAAAAATTTCTTTATGAACCTTTCCCAGTAGAATCAAGGTAAATCTTATTTAAATAGATTTATTTCATCACAAGTTGGTATTTTCTGGTTGTATTTTATTATATAAAATCAGTAAAAGTGATAGCTTAAAAGATTGCTACTATAATGTGAAACAATATAATCAACACCTTATGACAATATTCAATTATAATTTAAATGTTAAATAAAGAACTTTTTTAAAATAAGCAGCATAGTATAGTGTTCAATCACTTTGACTATCAAGCCAGGTGACCTGGGTTAAAATCTGAGCCCTACCATTTACTTGCTTGATCTTGAGCAAGTTATTTAACTCCTCAGTGCCTTATTATACCTATTGTAAAATAGAGATGGTAGCAAGACCAGCTATCTCATAGAGTATTAATAATGATCAAATGCATAGTGCTTAGAACTGTGTCTGTCATATAGTAAACATTTAATAAAGTATTAGCTTGGTGACAGTTTTCATAGTACAGTTGTACAGTTAATAAATAAATATATCCAAAATAAGGGAGCATGTAATTAATGATTTAGGCTGCTGACTTATTTGAGAATTATCCTATACCTCTTTTGAAACCCAGTAACTACTACTCCTTTTACAAAGTCTTCTCTCGTATTCCCAGCTGAAAATAACCTTTCTTCTCTCAGATTTATATAGTTTTCGCTTATAAACACTTATCACTTTCTACCTTTTATGATAGTCCTTTTCTGTATGTTAGATCTCCTTTACCATATTCTAACTGCATTAAGGACAAAACATTTGATTTATCCTATATATAGTTATTGGTTCTTTTTATTCTTTTATAAATGCTAATAATGTTAATTTTAAAATCTTAGAAAGTCAGCCAGGCATAGTGGCTTACACCTGTAATCCTAGCACTTTGGGAGGCTGAGGCAGAATTTGCTGGAGGCCAGGAGTTTGAGACCAGCCTGGGTAACATAGATAGAGCCTGTTTCTACAAAACAATAAAAATTAAAAAAAAATTAGCCAGGCATGGTCTTTCGTGCATGTGGTCCTGAGGTGGCAGGAGGATCGGTTGAGCCCAGGAGTTTGAGGTACAGTGTGCCATGACACCACTGCACTCCAATTTGAGCAACAGGGTGAGACCCTATCTCCAGAAAAACAAAAGAGAAAAAAAAAAAAAAAATGAGTAGTCCAAGTACCAATTTCAAGAATTTAGAAAAAAATAGCAAATTGAACTCTAAAAAAGAAAAAGAAAGATAAGTGTAAGAATTAATAAACTGAAAATAAACATAACTAGAGAAAAATCAACAACACTAAAAGTTGGTTCTTTTAAAAGATGAATAAAACTAATAAATTTTTAGTCTAAATATCAGGAATGAAAAAATACCATAGACAAATAATAATACAATATTAACAACCTAATGCATATCATATTTAAGATTTACATCAAATAGTAAAATTTCTTCTAAAAATTACTAAAACTGACCCAAAAAAAAGATAGAAAATCTAGTCTCTCATCTATTAAAGCAATTGAATCTGAAATTCAAAGTATTTTAGAAAGAAGTCTTCTGACCCAGATGCTTCATTAGTCATTTCTTCACAATATTTAAGGGTGAAATAGCATCAATCTTACACAATCTTCTTCTAGTAGTAGAAAGGGAAGAATACTTGCCAACTTGTTTTATGAGAACAGAACAACTTGGATACCAAAACCTGATAAGAAATTTACAAAGAAGGGAATATAACAAACCTCTTTCATTAATATCGATGTAGAAATCCTAAACAAACAATAATTAATCAAATCAAGCAATGTATAAAAGATAATATATTACTACCACATGCAGTTTATTCTATAAATGCAAAGATGATTATTTGAAAAATGAATTCACCACATGAACAAAAATGAGAAAAATTATAGAATCATTTCAATAGATTTTTAAAAATTGATGAAATTCCATACCTATTTATAATAAAAACTGTTAGCAAGCAGGAGTAGAAGGGAATGTTCTTAATCTGATAAAGGGTATCTACAAAAAATCTATATCAAGCATGATAATTTATGAGAGGATATTGAAAGCTTTCCCTTTGAGATAGGGAATGATATAGGGATTTTGCTCCCACTTCTTCCAGTTAGAATTAAGCTACAGACCCAAACTACTGCAATAAGATAACAAAAAGAAAGTACAAATATTCTTTTGAGAAAGAAGTGACTAGAAAAGCACAACAGGAGGGCGTCTGGGACACTGGCTATGCCTGACGTTGATGTTGATTACACAATTGTGTTCACATTGTGAGAATCGAGTTGTACCTATAGAATTTATGTAATCTTCTCCTTGTATATATACTTCAGCAAAAAGTTAACGAAATTGTTTTGTACCTTGATATGACCATTATTAATGTTTTATATCTAACATAGTATTTCATAGTTTATTCATTTCTCCATTAATGTGCACTTAGAGAATTTCCAGTTTTCTCCTTGTGTATAATGTTGCAGTGAAAGGTTTTGTTCCCTATTCTCACATGTAAATGTTTCTCTAACAGGTCATAATGAAAAAGTGAAATTGCTGGTTCATAGTGATTATTCAGACAGATACTACAAATTTGATCTGAAAATTGAGTATACCAATTTATAGGTTGCTACTGGTGACTTGAGAGTAACATAACTTTTTTTTTTAAATTCGCTTATTATGGCCATTTTATCATGTCCTTTGCAAAAATTATTTTTAAAACCTGCGTATTTTTTCGTGAATTATAGTTTTACTTAGTTTTTTCTTTTGTCAGACATTGTTAAATTTTTTACACGTCATGTAAGAAATTAAACTGAACATTTTGTTATACCAGTCTTTCAACATATCTGATTACCTTTTATGCTCTACAACACCTAATACATAATGTCTTATATGACTAGGGACTTTAATAGTTACAAATTAATGAAGGGAATATATTTGCTCACTTATGTACTTTAAATAGCATCTCTTTCATGTCAACTCTCCTTTAATCTGCATCAGTACTTACTCCATACTTACTCCAGTAAGTACCTGTGATCTTCCTTCCTCTGCAAGATATCTCTTCTGTTGCCTGCTTTTACCCCACCTATCCTGGCTGTCATCAACTCCTGAAAGTCACTAACTTTCTTTTTGTCAGCTTGTATTTATTTTTCATCTAGCAATTTATTTCCCAAAAATGATTGATAGTGGTGTCATCTATTGAGTACATACCATGTGACAGGCACTAGTGATTGCTTTCAACAAATTAGTACTACTGTTATCTTACTTAATCTGGAAGAATATCATTACAGTACTTTTATGACATTCTCTCTGACAGCCCACTTTTTATTCATGTTTAAATGAAAAATATACTTCTTTGAAAGAAAATGAGAACACATGTATGTGCTGGTGAATAATACGGGTTTACCTGAGTTCATGATACTAAGTGATTTATAGACTCATGGTTAAAGTAGATTGAAACCAAATTCCCACTAAATAATTTGGAATGAGTTATTTACAAAATATACAAAATTATATACTAAATATTTAAGTTGTATAAAACAAATTTGTTTTTATCTTAGAACATAAAATCTGAATCTTGATGATGTGAGATAAATTTAACCATTTTTAGTTTAATGATCATATATGTTTCCCATGTCTTGTTCACTGTATAGTTTATTAGGAGTGCTCTCTGACCACTTAAATGCAGAGATTGCTGGGGGTACAATTACATCTAAGCAAGATGCAATGGATTATATCACCTGGACTTACTTTTTCCGACGTCTTATCATGAATCCCAGGTAAGTGCAAGGGCAGTTATATATATACCTTTCTCTTTTGCCCTGAAAAAAAGATGCATTTGAAAGTAATAAACTCCAAATTAAGGTACATACAAAAAAGGTAGAGCTTTGGAGTTTATATCTAGGTATATGAATTTGTCTGGAGAATCGGATGATATCTCTGATATCACAGTATATTAGAATTTCAGTAGTTATATGCATTTGTTACTTAACCTATTCTGAGTACCTTAGGCCATCCTGAGGAGTTTGCTCTGTAGCTGAGACATGAGATGCCTGAAATCATTAAGAAATATGCTAAAATATATAGTGACTGACGTAGATGCAGTTAGAATTCAGAAAAGAGTGAGGCTTGTGAAGTTGTAGGTGGAAAAAAAATTGTGGCACATTTATAAAGGTTAATAAGAATATTGCAAGAGAAAATAAAATTGAGGCATGATAGAGTATCACTCCAGACAATGTGTTAGATCTTAATTTGGCACTTACTATTTGTCAGATAGTAAACTAAACACTGGGATGTGGAAATGAGTACATGACTCCCTGTGTTCTAACAGCTGATCTTTAGTGTGGGAAAAACACATATAAGTCATTACAATGAAAATTATAAATGCTCTAATAGAATGATATTTAAGCCAATGAGAGTGACAGTTTCACAGAAAACGTGACGCTTCATCCAAATCTTGAATCAGGAACACGAGTAGAAAAGGCAGAAGACACTTCAGGCAGAATAATATTATATGGGCAAAAATCCTCAGGGCTTTAAAAGGTCGTAAGTATTTAGAGAATATAAAAAAGTTTAATGTAGCCAGAACCTAAGAAGGGAAACAAGATTGTCTTGACTAGAAAGTGGGCCAAGAATCAGAGGCTACAAGGCCTGTATGCTGTGCTAAGGAGTTTATATCTGATCCTGAGGCTATGGTGAGCTATTGGAAGTTTTTAAACATGTATTAACATTACCAAATGCGGTTTTGTTTTGTTTAAATATTTATTGTACTATAGTAGGAAGTGAACTGGGAAGGAAAGACCATTACAGCAGGAAGACCAGTTAGGAAGCTATTGAATAATAGGGAATAGATTATGAGGATTTTAATAGACGCAGAGTAAATGCAGGAAGGGTCAATTTTAAGGGACATTCCAGATGTAAGTAAAAGAAAATATTAAACCATTGTAAAGTCTTAGAGAAGTCATGATGAAAATGTTTTTACTAAATCTTACCTGCTAATATCTTAAGAAGTTTTTATTCAGCCAGCATTTTCACTTACTTAGAAAGGAGTTTGAGTATATGGTGATATTTTGCCCAGTTCCATCTACCATTAGGGTGTCTGGATTAGATACTAAATATTATTTGAGAACATGGCTGCAAAATTAGTGATATAGCCATCCAGAACTGCAGAATTACCACAGGAAAGACACACATTACAGGATTAGAATTGTGGAATAGACTTTACATTTATTCTAGCCCAATCTTCTTGTTTGATATTGAAGATATGGAAGCTGGAAGCTTAAAGTCACTTGTTCTAGGTCCCATTACTACTCCTTGATAAAGCCAGATCTTTCGAAGTCAAGTTTTCTGACTCATAATCTACAGCTGTTTACATATATGCATGTGGGTAGATGGGAGTTGGTATGCAACTGTAGATATATTTATCATTTCTGTAACATAAGAATCAAGGCATTTAATGTGACAGAAAAGAGCTTTGGACTTGGAATCATCACATTGATTCTTGTTTCCTCAATCTCTTTCACTAATGGTGTGAGTCTGAGTCACTTTACCTCTCTGAGCTAGACATTCTTCATCTGGAAAGTAATAAATAGCCTCCCTCCGTCACTGGGTCATATTGAGAATTAAATAAATGAATTGAAGCCATTCTAATTCTGTATTAATTATAAATAACATAATGTAGATTTGTGAGCTGTTGTCTTGGACTCTCGATCAGTTGCTTTACTGATCTGTACCATCCTAAAGAGTATAGTTTAGAGACTAAGAAACTTGTCATTTTATTCAGTTTGCCCAATTAGCACATTCTCTGAGGCTAGTTTAGTTCTTTAGCAAATTGAAGTTCTTTACTGAATCCACACATACATTGCCCTTTGTGTATTCTTCTTTTTAAAATTTTTTAAATTGTTGAACTTTCTATTTTAAAATGATTTCAAGATGAAAAAAATGCAAAAAAAAGTAGAACAAAAAAGCACTGTGTACCCTTCACCCAGCTTCCCCATATTAACAACTTACATGACCATATATAATTATCAAAATCAGGAAATTAACATTTGCACAATACTACAGGCTTTATTCAGATTTCATCAATTGATCCACTAATGTCCCTTTTCTGTCCAAGATCAAGTTTAGTACCCTGCATTGCATTTAGTTGCCCTGTCTAGTTCACTCCAGTCTGTGATATTTTCTCAGTCTTCCTTTGTCTGTCATAAGCTTGACATTTTTGAAGAGAACTGGCCAGTTATTTTGTACAGTGTCCTTCAATTTGGCTTTTGCTGGTTTCCTCATCACTCTATTCAAATTATGTCCATTCAGCAAGAATATCACAGAAGTGATATTATGTTCTTCTCAGGACATAATATTAAAAAATTCTTCTCTGCAGGTCCTATCTATATTTAAAATATCACCTTTTATGTGAAAGACCCTAAAATATGTGGCTATAATCTGCTCTCTGTCAAGTTACAGTTTTATTTCTTCAGCCTTCTGAATGTTGCCACATGGACTTCCCACCATCATTTCACTTTAACATGTCCAAAACTGAATTAATCATACAACTATCAAAATCTTTACTCTTTCTTACTTTTGTTAATATTATCACTGCATCTGTTTACTTTGACTTAAAATTTGCTTTTCAATCTTCCCTTTCCTTTGCTTCTCAATCTTCCCTTTCCTTTGCTTCCGTAGTTCTCTAACTGCTTAACCTGTTTTTAGTCTGTCTTTCAATTTTGCCTACTTTATAAATTGTCAGATAGTATTGATCAGAAATTAAATATATTATAAAGGAGGTGGGAACTAGATGAGGTTTAGTTAGTAGATATAGAATGCAGTAAATCTTCAAATTAAGATAATGAGTTATAAACTGTTTAGGATTTACATTTTTTTCAACCATGAGAGTGCAATGAGCCAGGAGCACAGTTGGAGACATCGGTCAGAACAGGGGTCCCACAGTCAGGGAGCTCGGTAGGTAGGACTCCCAATTGCTCTGGTTGCAAACTGCCTTCTATTTTATAATATTATGGTGAGAAAACCCACATGAAACTGTAATAAATAGTAGGAATGAAAGACAGAATAGGAAGCTTGGGAAGACTTATCACAGTAGACATGAGATGAAACCTTGAGAGGGTTATAAATTTTAAAAATTATAGTGAGCCTCTGATCCAGGGAACTCCTTGGGTATTAGCAATTTAAGATGTCTCCTGCTCCCATATGGTTGTAGTCAATGTAGTCCATGTAAATAAATAAGTATTCTTTAGTTCACACCTCTTTACCTGTAGGAAATTTGAGGACTAAATGTCAAAAGGGTAAATTGTCTTCATGCATTGACTAAAAGCTCTTAGTAGTTGTGGCAGCTTTCCTTCCCATCTTGCTGCCCCGAAGAGAGGATTGAGTATCTCCCCCCACCACCACCAAAGGGACAAATGTAGATGGAAGGAATTACTAACCGACACCACCTACGTAAGAGGTCCTTCTCACTTTTGTGCTTTTGCTGTCACTCTTCTTCTTGCCTGCAGTACCCTCCTTAGCCCTTATAGCCTGCCAAGTCTTAACAGCCTTAAGAGTCCAGTCAATATTGATAAATGTAGCTTCAATTGATTTTCAGAAGTAATAGTTTATCCACTCTTGACCATTCATATTTTATATGCTAGTTCCTTCAGTAGCCACCTATACATATGTTGAGATACCTGGCTGGGCTGTCATTGTTATTCTGACATACAATCCTATACCCAAGCTGTTGCCATGTAAGTTCATAAATCCAGAATAGATACACCAATAATTTGTTTTTCGGAAAAAGCTATGATTAGTAACTATTAGTTTCTGATGGACAGTAGTAGTAACGTAAGTAATGACTTCTAGCCTCAAAAATAATAAAATTTCCCTAAAATTATAAAGTATAAGCATTTAAAAATTAATTATTTTATTTCTAAATTCTGTAAACATTTATTGAGGACCTACTATGTTCCAGGCACCACTCTAGCCACTTTGAGATGTATTAGTAAGCCAAACAAAAACTTTTGGTGTCCTGTCACTCATGTTCTTTCAGCAGAGACAGTAATTTTAAATATTATTAAAAGGTAATAGATGTTTAAAAGGAAAACAGGATAAGGAAGATTGAGAGAGCCAGGAGGTGGCCTGGGGAAGATGGGAGATTACAATACTGTATTAAAAAGAAAGTGAGGGTGGGCCTTATTAAGAGTGCTGATATTTCAGCCAAAACTTGAAAGAGGTAAGAAAGTTGACCACATTCTAGAGATTAACATTTCAGGCCAAGGGAACAAGAGAAGTTCGAAGGCAGATGTGCCTGGTGTATTCAGGAGACAAGGAGAAGACATGGCTGAAGTAGAATAAGTGAAAGGAGGAAAATAGCAGGAGATGAGATTGGATATGTGGAGGGCCAGTGGTGATACAGGTCATGGGCAGTCTTAGAAACTATGGTAAGAATTTTGACTTTCATTCTCGATGAAACAGGAACCATTGCAGGGTTTGGAACAGGGGACAGACCAGATCTATTTATGCCATTAGTCAGGTCAACGATAGTGATAAATACCGTAAATGATTTAAACTTCCCTTTTGTAAAACAGAAATTCTCAGATTCATTTTTTTAATCAATTCAAACATGATTGATATAGAAAAGTTGAAAATTAAGGATTGAAAGAAAGTGGAAAGGAGAATGATAACAAAGAGAAAGCAGCAGCTGCAGAGTTAAAATACAAAACCAAATTTGAGGCAAAAAAATACCAAGGACAAAGAAGAATGGATTATATTGGTAACAAACACAATCATTAGA